TTAACGAACTCACTTTCGATATGGTGCGCCTATACCACAAGTCAATCGAACATACACGAAGAGAACATCACATTATCTCGGTTATCGTCGACGTCACATCAATGTACTGCCGTTTACGCGGCTGGGCACTTGCTGCTGATAAAGATGTCGGCGCAGTTCCAGAAATGTTCTTGGCCCCACGTGCTAGCGCCCCAGTTGTTCCAGCCGGTGTAGTGCCAGCGCAGCACACAATGCGACTCGCCTTCGCAGGTCACGCCGGGAGGCAGGACGTACGTCAAGTCGAAGAAGTCGCCGGGGGTGACATTGTACTTGGCGTCTCCGCTCGGCTGCACCAACGGTTGAAAGCATGCTTCGGTTTCGACATCTTTGGGGCCATACACGAAGAGAACATCACATTATCTCGGTTATCGTCGACGTCACATCAATGTACTGCCGTTTACGCGGCTGGGCACTTGCTGCTGATAAAGATGTCGGCGCAGTTCCAGAAATGTTCTTGGCCCCACGTGCTAGCGCCCCAGTTGTTCCAGCCGGTGTAGTGCCAGCGCAGCACACAATGCGACTCGCCTTCGCAGGTCACGCCGGGAGGCAGGACGTACGTCAAGTCGAAGAAGTCGCCGGGGGTGACATTGTACTTGGCGTCTCCGCTCGGCTGCACCAACGGTTGAAAGCATGCTTCGGTTTCGACATCTTTGGGGCCATTGAGCTTGCAAAGGCCGATCTCAAAGAAGCCCTTGTGGTTAGCAGTAAGCTGGACCTTGAGCTTCATGGCAGCCCCGGGCGCGTAGCACGCCCCCGTCACGTTCGCGCCGTACTGGGGAAACCGACCGAAAGTGCCGCCGGTTTCGTGGGCGCGGGGGGAAGCTTGGGTGAACGGGTCCCCGCAAATGCCATATTGGCCGTTCTTGGTGGCGCCCACCCCGCCGGCGTTGAGGCTGTTGTCGCTCCAGTTGGGGGGGACAAATGGGGCATACTTGGGAAGCTTCCCAATGTAGCCGCGGTGGGGAGGGGTTACCAACCGACCGTGGCCTTGCACAGCGACGGGGGCAAGGGCGAGGGCGGCAAAAGCAGCGATGGTCTTCATTGGATTGTGGTGGTGGTGCGCAGAGAGCGAATTCAGAAATGAACATGGTGGTGGTGCCTCGCGGTTTAGTGTCGAAACAGAGCTTTGGAGTGGGACCATGACCGGTGGTGAATCAGCTATGCACACTCCTAGTTCGATCCGTTGATTGATGCACCTAAGTGTGCGGTACCGCTCAATATCACATGGAAGTCGATTAACGTTACTATAAAGCCGTGTATTCCATTGTAAAAAAGTGTCGACCAGCGGTGCTCCAGTAAGGTTTTCGTTGGCAGGTTGATGATGATGCAACTCAGATGTGCGGCATGTCACACTTTGGACACTTCAATCTGATAATGGAATCAGACAAACGATGATAATGGCCCAACACGAATAACTACAGTACATGTAGTAACAAACTCTGCACGGCATGCATACGTACTACCGGTACATGGCGTTTACAGGGAGCAAGCTGTGCCGATACTGTGAATACAACAATCCCAGCATTTCAATCTCTAGGCGGTAACGCGTTGCAACTTTAGTAAACTCGTGCAAAGTGTCAGAAGTTGCCAGTGCAGTACCTCTCAAAGTTGATGATTTACTGTTATCACTTTCTGTGTCTTGTTGGAGACATCTTGAATACTCTGGTCTATATTAATAAAACTGTAGTACTGTACTCAACTACTACGTTGTACTACCTATGATTGGGAACGCGAAAAACATGACTTGCGAAATCTCTCACTTGCGAAATCGCTCTATTATTGATATTGATAGATTTACCATTTACGTACAATTAGACCTCTTGACGAATGTTTATCTGTTTAGGGCCCGTCTGGATACCACTTTTATTGAGAAATATCGCGATAATTTTGCAAAATATTCAAGAATCTCAGCGACTTCGATTTGGCGTGTCTGGATGCCATTTCTTGACCAAGTTATATTCCATAATTTTATCAGAAATATCGTGAAAACCACAATAAATAATATTCTACTCATGAGTAGAATATTTTGACGATATTAACAGTGCGCGTTGAATTGATTGGGCATATCACTACCTCGCCTTCGTCCACAAGACACCAAAGAGGACGTCCATCCTCAGTGGTCCTCTCTGACGAAGTCCTCTGCACTATCCTCTGATTGGCTGTTCATTTCCGAACTTTCTTTAATTCTATGGCATCCAGACACACCACCCAAAATCATTCTTGGATCTTGAAACCCAAGAATTTCCTGCAATGTCGAAAAATGTTTTCTATTCAATATTCCAATATCCCATAATATTGGTGGGTGGCATCCAGACGGGTCCTTATAAAGGTAATCGTACGCAGTAACAAAGATGGGGGCTTGTAACTACTACTACTAGTAGTACAGTGCTACATAGTAGTTGGGAATCTGTGTGAATTTTAGGTTTGGCATGCATGAATCGATATTATTGTTGCGGATGGAAATTGCCAAATCGGAAGCCCTCAGCAGAATCGACTGTCTTAAGTGAATGAATTAAGGTACCACCAAAGCCAATCAAATCGTTCTGTAAAATTTCTGCCAACCCTCCATGATGGGCAAATCATCTATACTAATTCTAGGTTTGGTATGGTTTAGTTTGTACAAGCTCAAATTTGGTCATATAGACTCGAAATCTATTTGGCGAAACGATTGTAACAGTAAAGTCCAAATTTGGGTGAAAAGCACAAAACTATTACTACGTAGTCCTACGTAGTAATAGTACAAGCATTGCAAGTGTAAACGTGCGTGCGCAGAGGAAGGCGCAGTAGATGGTAAAATGAGAAGTGAATTGATAGCGTTATAACAATCTAACGCTATGACTAAGCTAAGCAGGACCAGCCATCTTGAGCTGGTAAACATAAAGGGCCGGGGTAGTCCGAAGCAAAGGGGCGGCGAACCCTTTGCTGCTTCCTTGGCACGTAGCGGCGTCGTTGGCCGCTCGTGGGTTTGGGACTGACTTTGTCTTCAACCTGTGTGCCGTGGTACAGCCACGTGGATCCGGAACTTGTGTCCGGAACTGTGACACCCTCCCACACTCAAACGAGAATATGGAAAGATGCTAATCAACTGGCGCGTGGTTGATAGCCGTTGGACGTTGGCAACTGGCGATCGTGAATTTCACTCATCGTAGTTGGCATTCTTGAATTTGACGGTATGGTCGACGACCAATGGAGGAAGGCCAAAGAGGTCGTGGACTTGACGGTCGACGACTCAGACGTGATGAGTACTTCTTCGCGGGAGTCCAGCGGCTCCGGACAGGCAGTGAAGATCCGCTGCTTGATCTGTTCATGAAGAAGGAAGAGCAGCGGATCCATGCAGAGCACCAGGCAGCATCCGACTTGGTTCAAACGGTGTTGCGCACGGTGGGACCCATGGCAGTGCGGGAGCTCCTGCGAAACGAGATCGTGGCCTTGGAAGAGCGCCACAGAAAGGAAGACATGTAGTTCCAGCGGGAGATGGAGAAGGTGGCCGAGGAGTCAATGGCTGAGTGAATAGCCGACGCCGAAGCACAGGCAGCGCAAGCTGCCGAACACCAAGCAAGAACGGCAGGCGCGGGAGCCTACCCGCGGTGGTAAAGGTGCAAGAGCCGCCGGTTGGGCAAGCAGCGCCAAACATCCAGATCAAGAATGAAGGCGTTGGGCAAATGGCGTTTGAGAATGTACCGCTCGGAATGCCCGAAGTGCGTTTGGAGGACGTCCGCACCTTGAAGCTGCACGAACAGGACGATTCCGCCCTCGGCGTCTGCGTGGACTATATCAACGGCAGAACGCGCCGTTTGTGGGTGTTGCAGCAGCTGGACTCGCGGCTGCAGGATTGGGGGTGGATACCGGCGTTGCGTGAGCCAGTGGAGCGATATCTCACTCTGTTTTGTCGGAGTGGGTTGTTCGAGACCCAGGTGATGTGGCTGGTGTGTGCCTTGGAGCACATGACGATTTTAGAAATTCCCTTGGCGGAATTTGTTGACTGGAAAGACAAGATGCGCGAGCGCATCTCGGACTGGAGCTACGGCGCTCCGCGGGTCGTACGGTACCAAGACGAAACGATGTTTGAATACATCATTGTGTTCGTCTTGGTGTTGTTGAAACGCGAGCGAGGTGGGAAGCGGCGGCTGGGCCAATTGCCGCACAATGTGGGGCTGTTGGCGAACGGGATGACTAATTTCGCCTTGGTTCGAGCTGCAAGCGGGCGGGTGCCCGCAGAGATTGTCTCCTGGCTCGCAGTCCGCGTTCGAATGCGGCGCGCTCTTGAGGTAAGGACGCTCTTGTCGCTGCGTCTGATCTCCATGTTGTAGTTGGCCCGTCTTGGATCAAGTACTGGCGGCCTGCGGGTGCCCAACGTGCGCCAAGCACTGCCGGGGTTTGCGATGGGGTCGAGACTGGCTCCGAGTGGGGCGCCGGCGAAGCGAACGGCTGCAGGTCCGACTCATGAGGCGAAGCGTCGTGCGGGGCTTGAGCGCCGCAGTCCGTGGTATGTCGACCCGAGGGGGGCGCGGATGGCGGCGGGACCACCGGATGCGGGATACTATGGGGCTCCGCGGGCCGCGTCGGTGGTTGTGGGGGCGCCTTCGATTCCGGTAGCGGCGCCGGTGAAGCGGGAATGGAAGCAGGAGTCGGCGTCGTCGGCCGAGGATGGGCAAGTGGCAGAGGAGTCCGAGGAGGTCTTCGGGGATGAGCCGCCGCGGAGTCCAAGTGACCGCCTTCCGTCGTTGCATCGCTGGTAGTTATAGGTGTAAGGTATGATTTGAGTTTTACTACATAGAAGGTTGGGTGGATCTGCCGAGCTGGTGGTAGGTCGAGGGTGTATGTAGTCGGGCTGACAACTTTCTTGACCGCAAAAGGGCCGTGCCATGCGCTTCGCAACTTGATGTTGACCGCTGTCGCGGAATGCATGGGTAGGGATAGCGGACTTGTGAAGGAGGACTTGGTCGGCGACTTGGAAAGTCGCCATGTTGGAACGGCCGCGCCTATCGGCTTGAGTAGCCTGTCGCTGTTGGGCGTTGGCTAGGTTATCCTTGATCTGTTGCATGACAGATTGGTGCTTGGAGACGAAAGACTTAACATCTTGTATAGTCCGGATCGGGGCATTGGGGGCGTTGATTTGGATCTCTCCCCCACTCAAACGGGGACTGTCTAAGAGTTGAGGCAGCCGGGGGTGCTGCAAGTGGACCGCATAATGGGGTGAGAACCCGGTGGACGCCTGAACGGAGGCGTTGTATGCAAATACTGCGTTGGGGTAAGAGCGTACTCCACGTGGAGGACTGACGGACGGAGTAGGAGCGAAGAATGTCCTCAAGGACACGGTTTGCGCGCTCCGTTTGGCTATCCGACTCGGGGTGGTCAGAGGTGGACATGGCGAGGTCGGTGTCGCAGAGGTTGAAGAGCGTCGACAAGAAGTGGGCAGTGAAACGGGGGTCTCGATCAGAGTCGATGGATCGTGGGAGGCCGAAGCGACAAAAGACGTTGTCAAAGAAGAGGCGGGCGGCGTCGTGGCCGCTGACCGAGTCCTTGAGAGGCACTGCCACCACGTACTTAGAGGCGCGATCGACACACACCATGGTGCCGGTATGGCCACGTACATCTCGTGGAAGGCCAAACATGAAGTCCATACTGATGGACGACCAAAATTCGTCGGGTGTCAGGAGAGGTTGGAGCGGCGCTTTGGAGGCCGCGGTGATCTTGGTGCGTTGACATGCGTCGCATCGAGCGACGTAGTGAACCACGGATTTGTAGAGGCGCGGCCACCAGTACGACCACGTGGAACATCTTGTCGCGGCCGAAATGGCCACCGCTGGGGAGTCGTGGAAGGACCGGAGAATAGCGGCGCGTAATGGCGCGTCGCATGGTACGACGGTGCGAGGTTCGTCGCCGCGGGAAGGGGTGAAATACGGGAGACCATCGCTGATGAAATAGCGATGGAGTAGTGACAGGGAACGGCTTGGCTTTGAGGAGGCAGGCGCCGTTAATGCTGACAAAAGCGCAGAACACGTGGGGTCCGAGGCGTAAACCCCGCGGATGCGGTTTTGGAGGTCGGAATGGAGGAACCCGATCGTGTTAAGGGCGAGGTCGGGACGCCGAGAGAGGGCGTCCGTCGGAAAGGATGTTGTCCATGCCCGGTTTGTATTAGACGGTGAAGGTGAATTCAGCAAAGAACGAAAGCCATCGTTCCATTCGCTGCGAGAGGTGCGGCGAGTTGTTCGCCGTGCGGAGTGAGGCGTGATCTGTATAGATCACGATAAGCTTGCTACCAAGGAGGTAGATGCAGAATTTGGTGAGGGCGTACTTCATCGACAGAAGTTCGAGTTCGTGAACAGGGTATGAGCGTTCCGCCGGAAGGAGTTGGCGGCTTTGATATGACACGGGACGAGCGCGCCCGTCCGCGTCGGCCTGCATCAGACTACATCCAATTGTGAATTTGGATGCGTCGCACATAACCGAAAATGGACGCCCGAAGTCAGGGAGCGCCAGAATGGGCGCACGTTGTAGGTTGGTTTTAAGGGCGTTGAAGGAGGATTGGCAGGAGTCCTCCCACACCCAAGGAGCGTCGTTGACCAAAAGACGAAAGTCGATGGTCGAAAAGATGCTGGAACGGCCCATGCCGTCAATGATGACATCTTTGCGGGGGATGGGTGTTTGAGCCGGGATGGTGGCGGTGTTCAGCTTGTAGAAGGCATGAACAAAACGTAGGGCTACTGTGCAGCGAAATACTTTCGCGGACATGTCTGGCGGCTTTGCGCGCCGCGAAGAACGCGTCGATAGCTTCCATTTGCTCGTGGGGAAGCGGCCACTGCCGCGTGACATAGTACTTCGTGCACGGCAGCAGATCAATCTCGTGTTGTACGCCTTTGTCGACAGGGAGGCGACTAGGAACTTCGTCAAGGATTTGATGGAGTCGAAATCATCGAACTTGATGGCAAATTCAGTCACAACGCGGGGTTGAGTCGCGACGTGACCGTCAGCCATCTTTACACGGACCCGATCGGAGTCCGATCGGGGAAGAAAACCAAAGCGACCAAGGGTAGTGCGGCTAGCGTAATTGTTAGACGCTCCACAATCAATCAGAACAGTGAGTCTGGCAGGGAAGCCAGGCACGTAGCGGCGTCGTTGGCCGCTCGTGGGTTTGGGACTGACTTTGTCTTCAACCTCTTCAACCTGTGTGCCGTGGTACAGCCACGTGGATCCGGATCTTGTATCCGGAACTGTGACAGCAATGGTACTATTAATCGTATACTATTCATACTACGTATTACTATACTACTACTGTAAGAGCATCTCCACCGCACCCAGTAAATTGGCCATAGGGGCAACAGTATACTTTATTCAAGTAAAAATATCGACTTCAATGTTCTGTACTTCGAAGTAGTCACGGAATAGAATGTACTGTTAACGTTATTAATACATCGACTTGAATGGATTGACATGAATAAAGTATATTGTTGCCCCTATAACGTTACTTCTTACAGAGCTCATTTTTCGATTTACCTCAAGGAACGCACCTTCGATGGACGCGCGGAGGCCATGGGCAACATGGACGTTAGTATGTGACGTCACGGCAACGATGCTGCATGTGTCGTTTGACGACCATTTCTATATTGAATTTGCCTTTTTATTGCGTGATTTCCATTTCCATCGGGCACACGACACAATTCTTCGGGCACATGGGCAATTGCTTGGGCACACGGCCAATTATATCGGGCACACGACCAAATATATCGGGCACACGACATCCGGGTGCCAAATTAAACGGGCACACCGCCAAATATATCGGGCACACGACCAAATACATCGGGCACACGGCCAAAAATATCGGGAATTCATCTAACTTAACTAAGCTGGCGTCCAAGTTCAGAGAAACCAGGATGATGGCAAGTTGGCCATTATACTGCCAAATGCAGCTATAGCCTGGCCGAGGTGTAGGGACGACCCAAACCAGTGCCACTCGTGCTGTTTTAAACGTTTTGGAGCTCCTGCACCTCGAACTTCCACTCACACAACATATTGCCTTGATTCTTGGTCAAGTCCCGCGACTTGATCTTGTACAGCCAGGTAGCAACGCAGTACAGTACCTTAGAGCATGCTCCACACCACCAGTAGTACCAGGCTCTAAGGTACTGTACTGTCGTTGCTAGCTGGCGGGTTGCAGGCAAAACTTCATTATGTTGACTTCTTAATGGAATTCGCAAGGTGAGCCACCTTGCTCCTTTCTAATATCCAATCAGAGTCCATCACACTTTGTTTCTTACACACGATTGGCTATAACACTGACAGTAGAGGTTACAATTTTGAACTTTGAATTTTGTAGAGCTTTGTGTGATGCTGCTCCAGAGAATTGTGCATTGATGAGTGCACTCCGACTATGTCCAATGTGGTTCTCCCCTTACAGCTAACATAATGTTGTGCGCTCGGTTGGGTCGCAATGTAGTGGTGGCTCTGGTGGGCCAACGCGGTGGCGCAAGAGGTCTTGGTAGCACCCATCGCAAACGCAAAGTGCTAAAGCCGCCACTTCAGCACTTGCGATGGGTGCCACCAAGACGTCTTTCGCCACCGCCCGCGCAACCACGTGATCACACCGGCAGGGAGGTGTACGGCACCGACACAGGCTGGATGGTGGAATGAGGGATGACCAATTTCATTGGGTTAGTAGGCATGTGATGAAACGAGACCTGTTAGAATTGACCGATTCCTGAATACCACATCACATGATTTTGCTCTCATGCACAACCTACACAATTATCTCAAGGCTCCTTGCATCAACCGTCATCACAGGAGTAGAATATATCGCAACACGGCGTGATGCGCAGCGATTTTCGTGTTTCACGGCATCTGATTGGACAAAATTGGACAATTTTGAATTCGCAAGGTGACCTGCCTTCACATGAAAAATAAAAATCATCAATACAAACTTGAAGATATATTAAATTGAAGCTATACAATTTCAGAATTATTTATGGAATTCGCAAGGTGGTTGACCTTGCGCTCTATATAAAATTGCTTATTTCACCTTGCTTTTTCTGGTTAATGTTGATCTACTTATAACCAATCAATGTATACAGGATATTCGGTCCGACTTTGTTCTGTCTATATCTCACGTCTGGTAATGACTTCGCTTTTGTATATAATAAATATAACAACGAACAAGAAAGTCGGACAAACGGTCCGACGATCACTTGATTACTGTATATCCTGTCCGACTTTTTCCCGCTAATGTATATTTTTCGCAGTGTCGGCGTGGAGGAATAGATATTTGTATGTCTAAAGGGAATTACACCATGGCAACTCTTATATAGCTATCCGTACAGTATACGGATACACGATATATCACTGTAACTCGAATTACGCCATACGGTATAGCAATGCGAGCATTACATGTACTGTACGTTGTACTCACAGTCAGTACTCATCCCTGTTTCGGAGATAATTTCTCTTTTCACTTTCCGTAAATATTGAAAGCAATGGAAATGCAAGGGATTTTTAAATTCGACTACGGAGACAACATAAAATTTCCCTTTCCTTAAACTTCTAGAACGGGTAAGTAGATCGAATTGGTGGATCGGCGAGGTCACGGTGAAGTGGGTCATTGAGTAGCGTTGAGGCTAGTAGGGATAGCAGAGGCATATACGAAGCATCGGATTGGTTGAACCTCATGTTTAGTAGCTCAGTTGTTCTAATTGTAAGCTTACAGTTAAACCTACTGTTAACGTTATATTTACAGCTGTACTGTACTGTACTGTACAAATAGGACGTTTGGAATGGCGTGGCTGCACTACCAGGTAACAGTAAAGACAAACTTCATTTTTACGGTTGCTATTTTGACCTATCCGGACTTTTTAGAAATTACGTCGCACAGAATTTCTACTTTCGTGCAAGGGTTTCTTTTTATTTTATACTAGTATCCGAATTCTCGAATTGAAACAGAAATAAAAACACCGTTGGACTTGCTCTAATTTCATTTCATAGTGTAAAGATGCACAAGTCGCCTACATACAGTGTTGTCGTCACTCTGTCGTAACTGGTGTCAACCCCTCGAAATGCCACGTAATGCTGTTCTATCGGATTACGCATGGCTGGGCAAGATTCGCGTCAGTAAAGTGAACATATTTTAAAGTACATGCATGGTAGTATACAGTACACAACTATTTGGGACACGCCAAGGATAGAGAGGAGGCAAAGCACTTCGAACGTCGTGCTCAAGTACTATACATACTAGAGTAGTAACTAAAGCTGTACTCGGAGTAAGCCTAATGTCGGTGCACCTGTATCCGAGCCCTCGGAGCATTGGAGGCCCTCTAAAGCATCCGAAGAACATCCTAGATGGGCAGATGTCGCATTGGTGGTTTGAATCTACATTCACAAATTCAAACCCCCAACTGTCAAACCCCAGTGCGACATCTGCCCATCACGAACTTCCCTATTCAGTACATTGATAGCGCGGAAATTTGGTTCTGACAGCGCGGGTGGAGGACAACGATTTTGAATAAGGGAATTTGTTGGCAGAAGTGGTCGCTTTGAAAATACACTTGATCTTTGTATGGAAGAATTGAGTGATTTCCGTATATTATCCGGATTCTAACGGTTTGGAGCTACATCTTCCAGATCTTTCTCCACTTTCAATTTTTCAGTCTACCGGCCAAACGCACTTCAACGATGAACCGCACAGGCGTCCAACTTGCCGCCATCGACCGCCGCCTTCGCCACCTAGTGCAACAACCACATGCAGTGCAGGATACCACCATGGACCACGTCATCGCCGACTGCAGGCACAAACTGGACGACTTGCGACGACAGTTCCGTGCCTTTGTCGCCACCGAGCTCAAAGTCTTGCCCACGTCGTCTGTGCTTCACACCCGTCTTTCTCAGTGGTTAGTGGACGAAATGTCATCCATGGTTGCCTCGATTGATCCAACGGACGAAGACGCAGAGTTCAGCACCCTCGACGGATTCCTTCTCGTCGAGGACGTTGCGCTGCTCGACCAGTTTGTCCACCAAGTCGCCCAATCCATCTACAAGCTCGACGCGACTGCAGCCGCCGCCTCTGCGACTGGTGCGTTCCTCACATCTCCCTCTGCAACTGCAGTGGTGGATAACCCGACGCTGGTCAGCTAGAACGTGCCAGCTCACCCTATCGCAACCTATTTTAACTTCGTTAATCCTATTAAGTATTATGATTCGATATGCCGCCTACATGTTGTTAAACACCGCATCCACCACAAAGTTACCCCGTTAACGACCTTGGATGTAAAGATCGATTTCTCTTGCGCGACATGTATTGCATATGCTAGGCATATTGCAGTCATCTTAACTAGACCACATGCATCTCTAACCCAAAGAAATGTTCGTCGTGGTCGTGACCATCTTTATGACGTGGCACGCTTAGAACCATCGTAGGATTAATCATCTTGTATTGCATGCTTTCTCTATTATGCTACTGATGCCATGTCACCGTGCAAGAGACGACATGTCGGCTCCATCTCGACGGTGGCCATCGCCATGCCACTTCGTGGACTTCGGAGGTGCAACGTCGGCATCGTCGTCCAGTCCTGTGTGACACCGTCAAAGCGGTGCACACAGTCCACTTGGCGGCTGGTCGAGTCGGTGGAGCCGCCGACGCAGTAGACAAATTGATGCTGCCACAACGCCGCCCCATGCCCACTCACCTCGACGGGGAGCGGCGCGCTGGGGGCCCACACGTCGGATGCGACGTGGTACAGCTCGGCCGACGCCACGCGGCTGCCGTGCGCCACTTCTCCCCCAAACACGCAGATGTAGCCGGTCGCGAGGGCCACCGCGACGCCTCCGTTGCGGACGTCGTGCATGGGAGCGACGAGTGCCCAGACGTTGGTGGAGCAGTCGAACACTTCGACTGACTGGAGGTGGTCGTGCCCGTCAAAGCCGCCACAGGCCACGATGAGCCCTCGGTCGGGGACGACCGCGACGGCCAAGCCGCTGCGGGAGTGATGCATGGGGGCCACATGTTCCCACACTTGGGAGGTCACGTCGAAGCGCTCGACACAGGCAAAGTGGCGGCGACCGTTGAACCCTCCAAGTGCATAGATGTGGCCGTGGAGGTAGGCAGAACCAAGGTAGCTGCGGGGATGCAGCATGGGCGGCAGGAGCGACCATTGGTGCGTGGATGGATCGAGCATCTCGACCGAGTCGAGGTGGGTTGTGACGCGGGTTGTCAGGGGAAACTGAGGGGCTCGAGTGCAGTATCCTCCTAGCACGTACAGACGGTCGTGGGCAGTCACGGCGCCACAGTGGGCGCGCCGATGTAGCATCGGAATGAACTGTTTCCAGCTGTTTGAGAGGAGGTCGAGGTACTCGGTGGAGCGGGAGATGGAGCGACCGATGAGCCCTCCAAGCGCTACGACGAGCGGAATTGTATTACAGCGAGGTGCGACTTGTGGCTTGCTTCGACGGGGGGCCTGATAGGGCATTGGGGGCCAGTGGGCAATACGATGGTGGGTCAAACGAACGGCCAGGGGAGGCCAGCTTTCAGCCAGCACATCCACAGCGTCAAGACGAACACATGACCGCAAAAGAGGTCGGAGGTGGACTTGTCGATTGGCTGGATCAAAATCGACCCACCCCAACAACGACGCGACAATGTGATGCTCGTCCTGGACGCAGAGCGCCGAGCTGCAAAGGATGACTCGCACAAGGGCCATGGGAAGTTCGTGAAAGGATTCGGTGTTGGACACGGCGTAAAAGTACGTGGCTAGGTACGTCCACGCCACGCTTCGCAGCACAGCGCACTTCTCGCGCAGGTGAAACGCGTCGCAGCAGGCAAATATGTTGACGCAGTTGTCCACACGAAGCTCCATGGCCATCTTCATACAGCAAGCATCAACAAGGACCTGACGACGACAGCACATTAACGTACATGCATGCGTGCATACTCACGCACCTCCATCTGAAGCTGGTCGCACGCTGCCAAGAGCGGCCACATGTTGCCCCCGTCCAACGTCACGTCGCGACCAGAGTACATGTATTGCAAGATCGCGTCAAACGATTGAGGGTCCGTGACGTCTATGTGGATCTCGTTCATGTGGCATTCCTTCATGCCGTTGGTGAACATGGCGCGAAAGTACGGGCTGTGTAGCGCGAGGACGAGGCGGTGGGCTGGGATGCGCTGCGACCCCACGCACAGCGTCACGTCTGTGAGCACGCGCTGCTCAAAAACCTGACGCACACCTTCCTGGAGGCGGTGACAGAACCACGGATCTCGCATGCTGTCAAGATTGGCGTCGTTTCAAAAAGTGAGTTGACGATTGCTACATTTTTCGCAACTGCAGCCGTTACATATCCGGATACCCATTCAAGATTTTGAATTATACGGATGTATTCAAGTCATTTCGGTTTCTACTGTACTGCAAAGGTGGTTTTTCGGGCAGGAAAGCGCAAAATATTATTACTAGTACTTCGAAGTATTATATAACCCTATAGGACGTTATTTAATAAATGTTATCACTAATATTATTGCCATATATGGCTGAATATTGGCAATATGTGGCAAAACATTTAATATCAAAAAATGACAACACATCAAGTATTGAATGTTTCAGTTGGCAACAATATCACTACTATTATTAGCAATATACTTAGTATTGGAATATATATTTTTATGCACAGTGGTCGAGGGGCTTCTGATCATAAGTTTCAATTATGAGAGTATACATACAATATTGCTGTCTATTTACTATTACAGGCATAGAAATATCTCGAAAGGCCCCCTCGAGACTGCCGACCACTGTCAAGAAAGGTCTTAGAAAGATCTCTCAAGTGTAGCTGGCGTGGGTGTCCCTGTACTTTTGAAGGAGGTTCTCCCCTGCCAAGATGGGGATTGGGTACTGTATCCCCAATATGCTTAGATGACTTTGATCCAGACAAGTTGGAAGGGATGTACTGTACCTGGGCCGGTCGATCGGGTGTCACACACGACGGAATGCACGTCACTTGGCAGTTAAAGTTAGGCTCAAAGAAGAACGGAATCGAGTAGCGCTCTTTCCCAGTTGTATTCACGACGCGGTGCTCCGTGGACTTGAATAGCCCGTTCGTCCAGCGCTCTACATGAGCTAATATTATTATTATTGTGGAAAGTATTTGAAACTGACAACCCAATAATGTACACAAGAAACACGGTAAACGGATTTAGCCAATCAGATTGCAGGAAATCAACATCTAATTAGTGTACGATTTAAATTAGTGTGATTAGAAGCACCACAGGACAACCTTTGACTACTGTGCTTCGAAGTACATATTGTCGATTTGATACAAATTTGGGGAGGGTGCAATCGAATCGCGCCAACCAAACTGATACACAATCGATCTGATTGGTTGAATTTCATTGAGAAATTGGTTTTGATTGGCTAATAATTTTGAGCTCATCTGAAGTAGCCAATCAAATCGATTTAAATTCCAACGAGAAACCACGCCACAACACGAAAATTCACTCGAAAGCACAATACTTCAATACAAAATTCAAGTACAAAGAATCAATAGTTGGCGAATATCAGCACTAAAGTCCAAAGTTTGGATAAATAGACACTAATATACAGTAAGTACACCACGGACATGAACTACAACCACCTGCCAAATCGCCGACGTTCACAATAAAAGCATTTTCCAAGTGCGGCACGTCCACCCATTGCCCTTGGTGACGGATCTGAAGCCCCGGCTCCGTGTCCGTCGACAGCAATGTCAGGAGCCCTGTACGTGATAAACAAAGATAAATGAACACTCAACTGAATAAACGAATCATCTATTAACAATTTCGAAAAAAGTTACCATAGTCGGCATGGGCACCAGCTCCAATGATGCCTTTCTCCAGGTCCGACTTCTCGGCGTTGTAATGTAGCATGCGCAACACCGCCATGGGACTGCATCATCAAAACGACTTGAATGTTACGTAGATATGGACGCAGAGATGACGAGTGCTTACCGGTCGAACATGCCAGGGGCGTTGAAGTACCCCGGCGACCCCGCGGCATCAGCGAACAAGTGCGCAACATGTAACCCGAGGGCGCTCATGGCGTTGAAGTATGCCGTTGTGACGGCTTTGAACTGAGGTAGCGTGTGGGCGTCCGGGAATACGTTGTCGGTGTCGTGCAGCGGCAGATGGACTTCGTCGGGCAACGACGGACGACACACGTGATACGCTTCCTTCGTGTCCCCCTTGGATTGATGTGCGGGATCGAGGGTTTCCTCGTACATAGGTGCCCATCCCCGCATGTTCTTGTCTGCACTCGCCTTCCGTTTCTCGGTCTCTGGGAGGTGGAAAAACTGTTTCATCTGCTCGTACACTGCGTTTTGCAAGGCTATGGGAATGCGATGCCCTTCCAGGTAAAAGAACCCAACGTCCATGCATGCCTTCAGGGAGATGAGGTCAACGAATATGGGGATGTGGTACGACATGTACCTGCCGCAGCTGCCGACTCGCGTAGGGGCTGAAGCAATCCACGCGCGGAATTCGCATCTTTCAGTAAATTGTAAATTGTGGTTTTGCGATTGTATTTATCCGGATAAAGTTCGAATCAACCGGAAGCGTGGACCTATTTCAATTTTCATTGGTAAATTAATTTCCAATCATTTTCGCGTCTTGAGCTCAATGTCCAATGAATTGCACTCATGGGTGATTATTTCAACCAATAGTAGACATCCTATTGTGTGATTTATCAACGACATTTCATACCGTAACAAACGGTGGTATTTAAGTTACATTATTTCAGAATTGATCGTGAACTTAACATGTGAACGATGCAGCGACAGCTAATGCAACGGCACCTGCACCACTAGCGAGGAACGTGGACACGGCAGTGCTTTTAGGCAGTGCGCTGCACACTCCGCTGGCCCCCGACACGGGGTTGCCAGCAGCATCCGTGCACTTGAGGGACGCCAGCGACGCGAAGAACGCTTGGCAGGCCGGGTACTGGCATAATTTGATGGCGTTGGTGACCGCGTCCGCGCCTTGGAGTTGCGCGGCCGTAACGCCGGACGCACTCGAGCACGTCATTGCGCTGCTGGCGATGGGCATCAAGTCGGATGGAGTGCAGACGGCAGCATACGCCATGGCAGGCGCAAACAACAAGCAACGGACCATGGTGTTGTTGAAGGGGAAGAAAGGCAAAGTGACCTTTTGACTGTCAACTTGTCACGCATCAAGTGGTTTTACCTGGGAGTGATGGTCCTGCTTCGACGCGTTTTACGGATTAACGTTGCAAAACGATGAATTAACGTACTGGTTTTAATCGAAAAAACCACCCATCACGAAATACTTAACGTTATACTTACGTCTTGGGATTGCTGGGATGAATAGCGTTGTACTGTACATGCGAGAATTGCATACTTCAAAGTAAACTGGTTTGTCGTCACAACGCACCATATTTCATGATTACAAAATGCAATAGTCGCTCCATTTCCCCACTACACTCCTACTACTAGTAGTTACTAGTGTGGGGCCGGTTACACGTACGAGCCATAGGCCGCGACGAGCGCGTCCGGCTGAAAGTGGCGCCACGTGAGGATGAGCTCGTTGTAGTGTTCCGGATGCGACCGTTGAAACGACACCGGGTCCTACGTTCTCGTGAATTCAAAGTACCCTTCCACTAGGTACAAAGTACCCTTCCACTAGGTACAAAGTACCCTTCCACTAGGTACAAAGTACCCTGTTTCGACGCAGGACATACCTCTGCAAAGCACACAAATATCGTGTGCAGCGCCGTGATGACCAAATTCGCCAAGATCATGGCCATGCTAAACCCGGCAATGAACCCCAGTCCCCCAAAGATCACTACCAAAGAAATCCCAGTTGTATTCTTCTTCCCCACGAACGTCACGACCATTGGGATTTTTACCATATCGAGTCGTGTCGTCGGCCCCAAACCCAACTGTCCAGTCCACCGGCGCAAACTTGGCCACCACCAAGCCAATCACGCCGGTGAGCACGCCCACACCGAACGCGCCAATCGACAGCGCCGTCGACGACAAGTCGTCGTTGATCACGGCGGTCCACCCGCGGCTGTCAAACAGCTGCATCACCGCCTTCCCGGCGGACCGGAAGTCAAAACCGTAGATCCCCACGTAAGTGTACGCCCACATGTTGAAGTACTCAACGAGGCTTTCAATGCAGTTCAAAATGCACTCGGCCAGGCACGCCACACATGCCAGCCCCACGTTGTCGTCTTCTGCGGCTTTGTTCTTGATCGTGCGCACAATCTATGTATATCGCCATATCCATGGGGAAATGTCCCACGAAATATTTCCACATATAATAAAGACAGAACCAAGGGGAATTTTCCCCACGATCGAATACCACCTGTAAGATTTGATCAAAAATGGATAAAAAAGGAAAAAAAACATATGGAATATTTTTCTAAAATCGTCCATAGTTAACCAAAACGAATCAAAATATCGACAACACATAGTAGTATTGTCAAGTCGATTCGAAATTGGAGTGAAGTGCTCAATCGAATGAGCAGAATCATCAAATCGGCAGAGAATCGATCGACCAATCAAAAAACAGATCACGAATCAAGTAGCCAATCAAAATCACTAGTTTTGACCAATTCAACATCGAAATAGTGTGTGACTTCAATTAGTGTGATACTGGACGATTTACAGCAATCGATCGATAGATTTGGTGAATCAGCACAAAAGTCCAAATTTTTAGGAAAAAGAACAATACCGTGCGCAGAGCCTGCAACACTGCAACGATGAGCGATCCAAAGCAAATCGACCCGAACGACGACGTCAACGACCGGTACAACGAGCCAGCGACGGCGCTCTCGGTGCGCGCATTGTACCACCATGTGGCCACGGTGCCGGCGACCGTGCACGTCATGACGTTCTGGATGACTTGCTGGCCCCAGTACACCGACACGAGGAGGAAGAAGATGGTCACGTTGAAGCCGGCCCCGCCGCACAGTTCGCCGCGAGACTCCTCCTGTTCGCAAGATGGATCGGCGGACCGGAAGAGTTGGTAGACACCGACGGCGCTGAGCGACCACGTCACCAACCACGCGACCTGGGAACGTGGATGGGGAACGAAGAAACTAGGAGGATGTGTACTGTACCTGGACAAAGATGAACAGCAGCGCCAGGGCAAAGATCGACTTGTGGTTGCTCAACGCAACGCATGCGAGTTTCAGGTGCGCAGAGGCAAACGCAATGCGATTCTGCACAGCGTTGATGTAGCTAGTCCAAGAAACGTGTGAGCTCACATGTCTACATGGACGACAATACCAAATGTTGATGGCGGCGCCGAGGAGGAAGAACAGACCCATGAACGGGTTCACGAACATGGACATGATCGCAAACCCAAACATCATGCCGACGTTCATCCACAGCGCGAATCGAATCATATTCTCCGCGCACGCCATCAGCACTTGGATCCATAGCGCCGAAAACACGACCGCAAACCCAATGAGGCCGCCGCTGACCCCAAGCACCATCGTGAAGCTCTTGTGCGCTGCCTGCGACGGATGCTCCGATTCAAAGTGCTTCAAGTAGTCCAGTCCCGACGTAAACTACACATGTATGCACGAGATGAGAGGGAGAGGGGAAGAAAGATGGAGACCCACCGCAAAGTATGCGATCGCGACGAGGTGCCCGACAAAGAGAATGGCGAAGAACGCATCGTTGCACTTGGGTGCTGGCTTTTCCAATCGCATGGAATGCACGGGTGGTGGACTTCCATGGCGGTGGTTCCCTGGAGGCGCCGGCTCGGGCTTCCCCAGCATCGGTTCATGCTGCTCGTACTGGCTGTACATGGTTCGTTGCAACTGAAGATTTGGCCTCAAGCGCAGTTTGTTTTAGGTTGGGATAGATTCATACTCAAATCTAGTCCAAACATACATTCCTGAAACCGTCGCAGTTATCCTTCGTGAAATAGAACCAACATTCTAATTGGATGATTATAAAATTTGGGGATCCCACATACAAACAATGAATCTGTTTAATATCAATGAGCAAATGAGCTCAGAATATTAATACGCAACCTGAATACAAATATCAAGTGAACTTCGTTGCGAAAATGAAATACCAGTACTGTTGAGGAATCCCTTGTTCTTCACGTCCCAGATAATACTGTACATCGCCATGACAAGCAGTTCCAGCAGCCTGCTGCAATACTCCCATGTGGTCCTTACCTGTGGCGGCACCGACATGCCCTCCATCACATCGCTGGATCCCATGACGCAGCACTTGCTGGGGCAAGAGGTGTTTCAATACGACTTTAGCAAAGAACGATCGCTCGTCGAGTCGTCCCGCAGCCGACGAATGTCCCAGGATAATGCGTCCCCGAACGACGAAGAGCTTGCCAAGACAGGCATGGCGATACTAAATATGGTAGATCACCACGCCGCGTCTGCATCCCCCGAGAAAGGCCACCGGGATTCCCTGGATCGTCGAAACAGCGCCGACGACGTCGCCGCCGCCATCGCCGCCTCGCTCAAAGAGTATTGATAAACCATCATCACATATTCGAAGTACATTATCGTGTTGGAACGCACACTTGACGTATTCAACTGCAAAACAAGGTGTGCTTCGGTATCATGGGGTAAGGTATGTTTGGCAGCAGTGGACACATAGCCGACCTCGTTCGCGTAGATCAACGCATCATGACAGTGCAGTACTGTATTGGCAAAAAGACATTCGACTACACTAGCTTTCGTGCCTTCGCAGCCCACGTGCATGAAGGAGGCTACGACAATGTCTATCACGGCCACCCCAGGAACCGGCAACTACCGGGTAACGCTAGTACGACCTACAGTGTCACCAACGTTGTTCACATTGTCAAACAATCGGCTACGAGAAGGGAGACCTAGGAACATCCATTTGTGATAGCGTTACAACGGTTCCACTGGCGAACCCAAGGCTCATGAAAGGATGTAAGTCGATTTAGCGCATCCATGGCCGTTAATTACACGGGAATGTCGTGGACTCAGCCCTTAGCTCGACAGGAAGGGAGTCATGAGCCTCTTAACGTCGCAGCCAGCCTCCATATACACACATGGCATCGCCCTTTCGGCATGCACCTGTTTGAAATGTGTATCCAGAGAACTATAAAGTGCAGGTCCCGCTTAAGTTCGATTTGATTGTCACATCAATATCTATGCAACCACAGTATCCCTACTTACGGTAGTAATAAATTTAGATATGCGCTGGATCGTGGCTGTCTTGGTGCTTGCTGTCGTGGCGGAGGCAGTGCTCACGCCTCCAAAACACGATGCCGTGGCTGCTGTTCAAGGTTTGATCTCCCGCCGTCTCGGTGCATCCTACCTTCCTCAGGTACACTCGTTGTGCCGTCACCATGAGGCTAACCCCGTCTCAGTTTGAGTTTGGCGTGTTGGCCGCGTCCTCGACGGGTCTGGACGTCGCACATGTATCTTCGAAAGGTGGAAAGGTATTCCTCGAAGGTTCCAGTGCCACTGCCATGGCGTACGGGCTACAAGCGTACGCCACTACTCCCACTCCATGATAATCAATCTACTGCCGATACCACCCCGTTCCTCAAACGTGTTGTCTTATCTCTGCCGCTGGCATATTGTAGGTACTTGCGCCAGGTTGTCCACACATCCACGGACTGGGAAGACCACGCCCTCCACCTCCCTCCGTCACTGCCGCTCCCGCCCGCACCCATTCTCCTGCAGAAGCAGTCTCCATACACGTACTACCAGAACGTGTGCACCGCCAGCTATTCCCACTGGGCGTGGTCTTGGGAAAGATGGGAAAAGCACCTCGACTGGATGGCGTTGCAAGGTATCTTTTGTGAAAATAAACCTTGTTTTCATACATTTTAATAAAGTACCTCAGTAGAATTACAAAAGGATATCTTTAAACTTCGTGAAAACAATGATTATATTTCACAAACTGCAAAGTAAGCATCCGTGTATTGTGCTTTCGAGTGAAATTTCGTGTTGTGGTGTGGTTTCTCATTGGAATTTAAATCGATTTGATTGGCTACTTCAGATGAGCTCAAAATTATTAGCCAATCAAAACCAATTTCTCAATGAAATTCAACCAATCAGATCGATTGTGGATCGGTTCCGTCGGCGCGATTCGATTGCACCCCCTCCCCAAATTTGTATCAAATCGACAATATATGATGCAAAAACTATTTATATTTGGATTTTGTGTCCGAAGGGGTGTAGTATCCTCGTCTATCGACTATTAATACTACTAGTACTACTAGACCAGTTCCCATGGGGAATCAAGCATGCGTACTAGCGGTCTCATGGTAGTATGTACTGCTCATCGTAGGCATCAACATGCCGCTAGCGTTCACAGGCCAAGAAAAGGTTTGGCAGGCGACGTTTGCCAAGTTTAACGTGACGTCGCTCGACGACTTTTTTGCTGGCGCGGCGTTTCTGGCGTGGGGTCGGATGGGAAATATCCAGGGAAGTTGGGTGCGGGGACCGCTGCCGCAGTCGTTTATCGACGCCCAGTTTGCATTGCAGGGAAAAATCCTCGCGAGAATGCAATCGTTTGGGATGATGCCCGCACTACCCGCGTTTGCAGGGCACATTCCGACGTCGCTGGTGCCGTTGTATCCCCACGCCAAAGTCGTACAGAGTGATGCGTGGGCGGGATTCCGCGCCCCGTACACCCAGGTGCATCTCTTGGACCCCACCGACCCATTGTTTGTCCGGATTGGCGCTGCGTTCCTGCAAACGTACCAGGATTTGTATGGGTTCACGGCCCATGTGTACCAGACCGACACGTACAACGAAATGGACCCACGCGAGGCGTCGCCGGCGTATCTAGGTGCAGCCTCCTCGGCGGTGCTCCGTAGTATGCAGGTATGTCTATATATGTATACAAACTCGTTGAGTATGACGTGGCAGTCTGTGATGGCATTGAACGGAATGACTATATCTAGTAACATTGAACTGCATGTTGCAAGTCCTTCTCTACAAAAAGAAGACGAACAGAATGACTATGATGCTGTAGTGACATTGAAGTATACGACGCTTCTGTAGTGACATTGAACTCATAGACTATTATTCTATAGTAACATTGAACTGAATGACTATGACGTGGCAGTCGGTGTGGTGCCAGTGAACTGTATGATAATACATAGCAGTCTGGGGTGACTTCATGAGTATGACGTGGCAGTCTGTGGTGACATATCAGAGGTAACAATGCCCTTGATTGGGTGGTATTGCAATGGTGTTGCAGTCTGTAGAGTGACATTGAAGTGAAAACCGACGATTCTATAGTGACATTCAAGGAAACGACTGTGACGTGGCAGTCTGTGGTGATAATACCCGTTGTAGATGGTGGACAAGGACGCGGTGTGGCTGATGCAGGGCTGGTTGTTTTCGTTTTCTCGATTTTGGACGTTGTCGCGCATGGAGTCGTACTTGTCACGTCTCCCGTACGAGTCGCTAATCGTGTTGGATTTGTATGCCGAAGTGTCCCCGCAATGGGAAAAATCCCAAGAGTTTTTCCACCACCAGTGGATTTACTGCGTGTTGCACAACTTTGGCGGGAGTTTGGGCATGCGTGGGGACCTCGACACGATCGCGACGGGTCCGGTCGTGGCGAGGGAAAAATCCCACTCGTTGGTCGGCGTGGGGCTGACGATGGAGGGAATTTTCCAAAACTACATCGTGTACGACCTCGCATTGTCCATGGCGTGGGCAAACTCCCAAGTCAACGTCACCGAGTACGTTCGATCGTTTGCCGTCGGTCGGTATATTTCCCAATCTTCGACGACCCACCACTACTTGGAACGTGCGTGGAACGTTCTTGAAACGTCCGTCTACGCTGTCCGCCATGCTTACGGCGGCGTCACCAAGGATATTGTGTGTCTGCGGCCTCGGTGGTACCTCATTCAGGCCAGCTTTATGCCCACAGAGCTTAGCCACGACTATGAACGGGTGCTAGAGGCGTGGACACTGCTACTTCAAGCTGCAGCTTCGTCCCCATCGTTACAATATGACGATAGATTCACACACGATCTTGTGGATGTCACTCGGCAAGCCATGAGCGACGGACTCGTCCAGATTTATCAACATATTCAAAACATGTTTGAACAACGACAAGTGCCTCTGTCCGAGGTAACCGCCGTACCTTGAGATGTATATATATATATATATATATAGTGAGCTTGTGACCCAAACATGTGGTGACGTTTCAGTCATTCTTTTTCACCAAGTATGTAGTGGCGTTCGAATACCGTTTGATCCAATTGATACAACCTTGAACGAACTATACTATTTTTATACTATATATATATACTGTATCGGAACCAATATTTAGTATTTCGAAATAATAATTGTTGTAGTCATTCAAACGATTTGGTTGACACGATTTCCAGTGATTGCGAACTTTCAGAAAAAAGGAGGCCCTCGAACCTCTTGTTTTTAGTTTTTTGGCAAAAAAGTGGTCTTTGGCAGAATTCTCCAAATTATGGATCCGAGAATCAATGTTTTGCTGCAATTTTTTGTTCGAAATTGCCAAAATATTCACGATTATTTTTTTGGTCACACTAATTTTTTGATATCTTATTAGCTGACGGCCAAAACCGCCGACCTTCTCGACCGCATGACTGACCTGGACTTGTTGTTGAATACGAATCAAGACTTTATGCTGGGCCCGTGGCTCCGTGACGCCCGATCATTGGCTGGAGAGGACGGCGATGACGTGGCAGCGGCATATTTCGAGTACGAAGCGCGCAATCAAATCACTCGATGGGGCGACAACAACAGAAACGCGCTGTCTGACTACGCCGGCAAAGAATGGGGCGGGCTCGTGGGGTCGTACTATATACCTCGGTGGCGGCTCTGGGTGGCGGTAATAATAATTCCCAACACATATATATATCTATCAATATTTTTGCATACATAATATATGCAGCAGGGGCTTTCAAATAAAAATATATACTAGTATTTATTGCGAATAAATATAGTATTTTATGTATTTGAAAGCCCCTCGATTTCTTCTTGAATATGATATTGTACTTGGTGGTGGGACGGATCGGTGGTGATAGCAAAGTGATTTGAGCTTTTTGTGATAGTTTTGGTGATAGGAATTACTCCGGGCGTATGCAGGCCAAGTCGAGATGGACATGGAAGGGTTGAATGGTCAGATTGAAGAGTTCGAGGTGACGTGGCAGCTGCTACGTGATGCATTCCCCACCACCGCCCAAGGAAGCGCAGTGACCGTGTCCAGACACTTGTATAAGAAATACACTCACTCGGATGCTCCAGCAGTCAAAACAAGTCGACCAGAGCTCAGCTCCGTCCTCTGCTTGTTGGAATGCTTGTGGTGAGAATAACCCAGTTACTAATAGTAGTAGTATTCTAGTGCCTCTAGTACATCCTAACTACTAGTAGTAGTACGTTGACTAGTAGTATGCGTGGGGCTACATAAATTAGTGTGTAGTGTATATTCTAAACTGGAGTGACATGGAGAATGAATCGACACTATCAAATTCGTATACAAAAATTGAGCCAACATCCGATTGCAGGAAACCATCATCAACGCCAAATTAGTGTATGATTGAAATTAGTGTGATACCAATCACACAGGATACCTTTTTACATACAAAATTCAGTACAGAGAATAGATGGATAGATTTGGCAAATGTCAAGTCCGGGTGACCAATCGAAAGAGCAGCACCAAATCGGCAGAGAATCGATCGACCAATCAAAACCAAGAGCACTAATCAAGTGTCCAATCATGTCACTCTTCGACCAAATCAACACCGAATTAGTGTGTGATGGAAATTAGTGTGATACTAGATGAATCTTTGCATACAAAAGTCAGAACAAAGAATCGATCGATAGATGTGGCAAAGAATCATCACCAAAGTCACCCAAATTTTGGGCAAAAGAACAAGAATTGATACTATTAATAGTACTATTAATAGCTCAAAAAATACCCCCATCCCTCCACATCGTCTGGACCAGCATGTTGCTGCTTGTAATACCTTGTGGTTGGTGTATACACTGTAGTACAGTATGTGAAGTACTTTTCGTTTAAATACTCGTGAGACTACTACTTCTGTAGTTAACCGTGCAAGCTAACGAACGAACTAGTAGTATGTACTACCTCCTACATCCACTGCTTCCACCCTTTAACGTACGCCATGGTGGCCAGCAGCACGGACACGAGCACAATCCACCACAGCTTGTACCCGTTGAGAACCCCATCCTCCCACTCCAGCTCGGGCATGGTGCCTTTGAAGTTCATCCCGTAGATGCCCGTGAGGAATGTGCCGGGTAAGAAGCAAGCGGCTACGACTGTGATGTAGTACATCACGTCCTCCTGCTGCTTGGCGCGGGCCTGCTTGTCGTCGTCCACGAGCGTCGCGAGCAGCAGCTGGTGGTCCCGCAGATCAGTCGACATTTGCCTCAAGTGATCCTTGACATCGCGCAAGTAATTTTTCACTTCGCCCTAATCATTATATTATATCCATCCCGATTCCGGAATGGTATATATATCACTTTGGACATTACGAGATGATATATATATCACTTTTGACAACGAGATGTCCACTTTGCACACATTTGCTTGCGGGAAATAATCCAAAACAAGCCCAAAAAAGGCAATCTCACGTTAATAAATTATTCACCCAAAGTGCAAAAATCCAAACACCGATACTATTGTTTATATTCTAAACTGGAGCGACGACATGGAGAATGTATCGACACCAACATAAATGGACACATGAATACTCGGCAGAACAATTGAGCCAATCAGATGGCAGGAAACAACGATCCTCATCGTTAAATTCGTGTATGCATTCAATTAGTGTGATACTAATCGACACGTTTTTACATACAAAACTCAGGATAAGCAATCGATCGATCGATTTGGCAAAGAATCCGCACAAATGTCAGCCACATTTTGGGTAAAAGGATCATATCGCCAACCAACCAACCAGTACACAACAACGTAGGCGGCTTACGCGGTTAAATTGGTCGTGGGGGGTCAAGTGATCTGTGACAAGGTCTAGAAGTGGACGGATGATCTTATCCATCGCGATGAGCTGCTTCTTGGTACGCGCGAGTCTCGCCGGGTCAAACGCGGTCTGTTGCAGCCGCACGAGTTTGCCGAGCATATTGAGCGTGGGCTCGCACACTTCGACGAGGGGGAGCATCTCATCCACGACAGCATTGAGAATCGACACAACCAGGAACGCCGCCGAGTGATTGCGGACTTTGGAGTATGGCTTGGTCATGGTTTGATCAACCACCAACTCCCAGAGGCGAAACGCGGACGGGTCGATCGTGTCGACGTCCTCCTGCACACTCACGACGTGGTCGTTGCTTACAAACACGCAAAGTTGCTGTGGCGGCCGGAGCAACGTGTCGAGCGCATCCAATGTCGTTGTCAACGCGGCCGCTTTTGATTGGCCAGGACGCGCGGAACCATAGATCGCGTGGGGGGGTTTATGTGGTTGTGGATATGCGACAGCGTTCGGGTGGTTCTCCGTCGCAGCCTCCTTCAACTTCTTCGCTGTCGCAGCCTTTCGATGGGCGGCTAACACGTTCTCCACGACCTGTAGCTTGTCTGGGCTTAGAGCTCGTAACACGGGCACCACCTATATGAGACAATGATGTTTGTAGTAGTACTAGTAGTAGTTGTTGGTCAAGGTACTAAACAGGAGGTGACTAGTGCTACTACTGCTGCTGCCTTCGTACCAAGAACGAATGGTCGTCGTAGTGCTCGAACTTGCACCTGAGTTTGTCGTTTTGGTTCAAACAGTCTTCTAAAGCCAACGGGTGAAGCTGATATTTGATGGCCAGTCGGCGCAAGTTGAGGTCGTCGTCTGTTCGCTGGAACCCCGCCAAGTGCACCCATCGCACCGTGGCCCACTGCGGCTTGGCCGAGACCATGAACGACTGCAGCTTCGTCACGGGGTCCACAGCGCGGAGGCTCGTGGGCGAGTAGTCCACCACGCGCAGCACATGCCGCTTGGCGTCGACTTGGAGCGGGGTTGCCACGTCCGGCTTGAACAGATGCGCCTGCTTGATCATCTGGACGACCGCGATAAACTCGTCGACGCTCACGAGTCCGTCGCCGTTCGTGTCGACCTTGGCCACAAACTCGTCAAAGTTGCCGTCGCGGGGCACGCTGATGCCTAACGCCGACAGACCGCGCTGGAACTCGACGTACGTGACCGTGTCTTTGCCTACGGATTGCTCAGCAACGGAGTCAGACGTGGTGGAGCAACTCAAAGATGTACCGTTGGGACTGAAGTGGTGAAACAACCGACGCAGACGACCGGTTGTGACGTCGTAGAACGGATCCAGCAGCACGCGGATGTCCTCCTTCTTCTCGGCCTGCTCGGCATCGCCGAATTCCGAGCCCACGGCCAGCGACGACCGTCTCCGCATGGGGTTGTTGCGTGCCATGTTGAGCGCATCGCCCTTGGTCACCTGGGAGAAGTCCCATTCCATGTTCTGCGCGTCGTGCATGCTGAAGTGAGGTAGCGCGGATGTATGGATCCAAGCTTCAGACCCGTTGTGGTGCGCTTCGTGTGCGTGGATATGGGACAATGGTAGTGGCGCTGGCGGCAGTGACCCGAGCAAAGGGTCACACGACTCGTCGACGCTTTCGATGCGATCCATGGGTGCTTGCTTCTGTGAATCGCGGCGGCGGGTGTGGTGATACGGATGGTCTGCTGCAACACGCCAGTTCGCAGTAATTGGAGTATGTAAGCATTCAAATAGTGACAATATAAGGCAAATTAAACAATACGGATACTCACAAACAAGGTCCCATATTAAAGTACGCTTGGAAATGCATATTTCTTTGAATATATTAATGTGACAAAGCCCCTATTTTCCCAACGTTTGGAATCAAACCCCGCTGCAATTGATGAGTTTGAACACAAAAGTGAAGGTGAATAATCCCAAGCCATTCAATCACGCATGCTATTCACACTGCAAATGCACTCGTTTACTAGTCATGCAACATGTGCACGCAAGTAGTAAAGGTCCCTTGATGCCTTGTCTGCATACCAAAACTATCACATGCAAACTCTTCAAGATTTCGTCAAACAGTATGTACTAGTCTATTTTAACGTCATCTCTCCCGCCCTATACTTTGACTTTGAAAGTTGTTCCGGTATAAAAGATGATGGCGTCCCTCCTGTGTACGACCAAGGCATACAGCATATCCTACATAGTAAAATGACACGTTAGTATGACGTTCATACCTACGACCAACATTCGACGACCGGATTTGGTCGTGGCCAACGTTTCACTTGACACTTGTATTGCATGAGTTGCAAACGACACTCCACTTTCAAGGAACGATCGATCATGTCCAACAGTAGCAGAAGCCACCACGACGACGTGGGACCCGTGGGCGGCGCATCATATGCGGCCCTGGAGACTCCATCCACGTCCACCGCCGTGGATGATGCCGCCGTATCCCATGTCACGGCCACACCAGCACTGCCGAGCATTGAGCCGTCCAGCGGGGTGGTGCGTATCTCGATCGACCCAATTCCTGTAGAAGCATGGGTGCCCACGGGCAAGTTGCCGCGTTTCACGTTCGAAGACGCCCAGCGCTTGGAATGGGACTACTCCAACTTGACCAACCGCGACGTCCACCGCAAACCGAGCACGCTCTCCATGTCGGCGCGGTCCGTGTCCAAGAACAACGCGGCCTCGCACCGCATCAGCTCCGAGTTTGGCGACGGCGAGCGCGAAGCCAAGGAGGACATTGGCGTGCTCTTGGATCCGTTCTATGACGTTACGAGTGGGCGGCTGCGTCGGTTGTTTCAGCACTTTTGCCCCAAGGGTAGGTACTACTAGTGCTACTTCGTCGTCGTCCCAACCTCGTTCCATTACCGTCCATGTCCTCGTACCTCATCTCGCTCCACTAGGCAAGGACGCCGTGAGCTACGACGAGTTCTACAACGGTCTCTTGGCACTTGGCATCACCGTGCCGGCCGGCGTGAGCTTTCGTGACATCGTGCGCAAAATCGACTCGAACGGTGACAACTCGATCAGCGTCGACGAGTTCATCCATGCAGTTCAGATGATCAAGCAAGCCCACCTGTTCAAGCCAGAACACACGCAGGCTGAGTATGACCACGTACTGCGCGTGGTGGACTACTCGCCCACCAACCTACATGCTGTGGACCCCGTAACGAAGCTGCAATCGTTCATGTTCTCGGCCAAGCCGCAGTGGGCCAAGGTGCGATGGGTGCACTTGGCGGGGTTCCAGCGAACGGACGACCTCAACTTGCGCCGACTGGCCATCAAATATCAGCTTCACCCGTTGGCTTTAGAAGACTGTTTGAACCAAAACGACAAAATCCGGTGCAAGTTTGAGCACTACGAGGACCATTCATTCTTGGTACACCAATGATCACATGTTTGAAATGTCCATCATATATTGCCCTATTCCTGACATTTGGATGTAAACACGTGCAATGTCACACTAATTTCAGTCACATACGATACTAATGCGATTTTGAAAGACATTTGATTGGTCACTTGATTCGAGATCTGGATTTTGATTGGTCGTATATCGAATATTGTCTGCCGATTTGTGAGTTATTCTGCTCAGTCAATGTTGACCAATTTCGAATCGACTTGACAATATATATATGTTTATATATGTTTCTTGTGGATTCGGTACAGATTTCCAGATCGAATCACGAATCAACGCTATTGGTTAATCCATTTTTGAGTGGATTTGATTGGCTCTTACAGAAAGAAGGACAAGGATACTCAACCAATCAGATAGATTAGTTTGACATATTGATTACTTCAAAGTACATCACTGACATATCTGTCATCAGATCGTACCAGTATTGCGACCGCTCCACACAGACAAGGCGCGCCACATCGAAGCATGTATCGCCGATCATCGCCGCGAAGTCTTCAACAAGCGGCAGGCTGCCCTCCTCAAGGATGACATGCTCAAGCCCCCAGTGGCAGCGACCAGAGAGACGCTGACCGCCAAACTCAACGAGCTCAAGGTCATGATGCGGGAGCCGCAGCAGTTGTGCGTCTTTCAAACCAACGACGGAAACGTGCTGAGTGTGCAGGAAGATGTCGACATGGAGGGCGGGAGTTCGTCAGCAACGGCTGCATTTCCGTTGTGGGGCTTGGTGTTTGACCACAACATGGCCAAATCGTACAGCAAGTTGCGCAGCCACGACGAAAACTTCCTCGTCGTGTCGCTCTTGAACGCCGTCGTGGAGGAGATCATGCCCCTCGTCGAAGTGTTCGAGGCAAAATTCGACCTCCAGGGCCAACTGCTGCGGTTGGAAGGCACAAAGTTCGACACGAAGCGCTTCAGTCGCGCCAAGAAGCAGCTGATTGCGATTGAAAAGATCGTCCGACCACTGCTAGACTTGGTGCAAGACCAGTTGCTCGACCAGGACGAATTCAACCACGTACGTACGCTGCTTAGCAATGGCAGGTGTATTTTATGTCGATTGTACGAACTTTGCGTGGTCGTGGTGGGTTTATTGTGGTGGCATGTATGTCGTCCGTACGAACTTTGTGTGGTGGGTTTATTGTGGTGTATATGTCGTCTGTACGAACTTTTTTGTGGTGGTTTTACTGATGTATATGTCATATATGTACGAACTTGATTGGTGGTCGTGGTGGGTACTTGTGATTACATGACAGAATGGATGGCTGAGAGAATATTGCTATTTTCATATTATACCCGTACTGGATACTAGCCACCCCACAATATAACGCTCGGCTGTATGTGGGTTGTTTTGCTTTGTATGTAGGGCGAAGTGAAAAATTACTTGCGCGATGTAAAGGACCACTTGAAGCAAATGGCGGCCGAGTTGCGCGAACATCAGCAGACGCTGGCGGCGTTGATCGACGAGGAGAAGCGCATCAGCGCCAAGGCCCAGGCCGACGTCATGTACGCCATGTCAGTCATCGCCGCCTGCTTCCTTCCAGGGACGTTCATGACAGGGATCTATGGCATGAACTTTGACCACATGCCAGAACTGACGTGGGAATACGGGTACATCGTGTGGTGGGTCGTTCTGCTCACGGTGGTGTCGACCCTGCTGTCGTTTATGAAGTTTGTCAAGGGATGGATCTAATAGCTTGTTGTCTGCTGTTGCCACGTCATCGATTGATTCACAGCGATTAGGTTTCGATCCTGTCAATATGTAATTCCTATTCAACACATTATTCTCGATCATAGTATAAGTGTGGTGTACATATGTACACTGCTCCCTCACGATCTAGGGGAACCCAAAACGCGTACAAGTAGGAGCAATCATGTCGTTAATGTACTGTTGAGATTAGTATTACTACTACGTACTGTACTAGTAGTACTTATTGTCGATTTGATACAAATTTGGGAAGGGGGTGCAATCAAATCGCGCCGACCAAACCGATCCACAATCGATCTGATTGGTTGAATTTCATTGAGAAATTGGTTTTGATTGGCTAATAATTTTGAGCACATCTGATGTACCCAATCAAATCGATTTTACAGTAAATTCCAACGAGAAACCACGCCACAACACGAAATTTTACTCGAAAGCACAATATTATTACTGCTATTAATACACAAATGGCCGCTGTCAGGCTACTACTTTGCAAGATCTACAGACATGCTGGGTTTGCGATACTGTACAGTGCTGGCATGGATATAATTAATATACACATACACACTTGAGACTTATTCGAAATTAGAACGAGTGTCGCTTGGGCTGTTTACGCTTGAGTTTTGTGTGTGCGTTTTCGCCTGGCATTGTAGACGCAGCAGCGAGATCCCCACGACTTACCTAGTACATGCGCAGCCATTCAGACTACCTGCCCCTTGGGTCTCCCTCGGACAAGCCGCCGCCTTCGTCGTCTGATGGGGCCAAGAACCACCAGAACCCGCGGGTGTTCTGCCCCGTGGCGGTACCCCTGACCAACAAAAAGTCGGCGGGGGCGGCCGAAGTGTGGGAGCCAGCCAAGCTCGTGCCCCAGCTCACGGTAGACGAGGCGCAGCACTTGGAGTGGAATTACGGCCACGTCCTGACAAGACATCGGTCGTTGGGTGGGGGCACCTCTCCGGAGTCGCCTTCTACCCGCAACCACAACGATGACAACGACCATGACAACGGCGATGACGAAGCAGAAGAAGAGCTCAAGGTGCTGCTCGATCCGTACTACGACGTCACGTCGGGGCGGTTGCGCCGCATGTACCAGCACTTTAACCCCCACGGTACCCCCACCAGTCTATATATATTGAGATGCGTAGTTGCTGTGCACCGATGTCAGTCACACAACGTTGGTGTCAAGTAGGGGGGGCGGGGGTAACATACGAAGCATTCGAAAAGGGGCTGTTTGCGTTGGGCATCACGCCGCCCCCAGGGATGGACTTTGGCCAGTTCACTCGGAAAGTCGACTCGAACGGCGACGGCACGGTGAGCTTGGCCGAGTTCGTCGCCGTCGTCCAGATGATCAAGCAAGCGCACCTGTTCAAACCGGACCAGAGCCAGCAAGACAACGGCAACCATGACATGGTCACGTGTCTTCGCGTGGTCGACTACTCGCCAACCCACGTCCGTGCCGTCGACCCGGTCCGGCACCTCCAGGGATTCATGTTCTCTGCCAAACCGGACTGGGCCAGCGTTCGATGGGTCCATCTTGGTGGGTTCAAGCGCATGGACGACCTGAACGTCCGCCGACTAGCCATCAAGTACCAGCTGCATCCACTGGCCGTGGAGGACTGTTTGAGTGCCGACGACAAGATCCGGTGCAAGTATGAACACTACGACGACCACTCGTTTCTCGTACGTCCAACTTTATATATATATCATTTTTCTTGAAAGGGAATACTCTCGATAACTACTCAAACCGACGATACGTATAAATCGGGGGATATTTCAATGGCCACGATTGAATGCAATATATATGCGGTGTAGATTGTGCCCGTGCTGCGACCACTGGACGGCCTGAAACGAGCTCACATGGAAGCGTGCATCAACGAGCGGCGCCGCGCCCTCTTCAACAAGGACCGAACGCTGCGCAAAGGGGGTGCCCTCAAGCCAGAGGACGACTTCTTTAACGACCGCAAATTTGTGGCGGCGCCTCGCGCTTCGTCCATGATGTCGTTCTTCAAGGCCACAGTGTTCACCAAGCCCGTCGCTTCGCCCTACAAGCCGATCGGCAAAGGGCCCCCCACGTCCCCGTCGTCTCGCCACCGCAAGCGCACCGAGATCGAAGCCAAGCTCGACGCGCTGCACGTGCTGATGCGTCATCCGCAGCAGCTGTGTGTTTTCGTGTCCAAAGACAAGAGCCATGTGCTGAGTGTTCAAGAAGAAGAAACCGACAACGCTTTACCGTCGTCGCCAAAGCCATTGTGGCACTTTGTGTTTGAGCGCAACTTGACCAAATCGTACTCAAAGTTGCGCAACCACGACGCGTCGTTCCTGGTCGTGTCCATCTTGGCCGCGACGGTGGATGAGATGATGCCATTGGTCGCCGTCTTTGAAGCCACGTTGAAAATGCTCGGGAAACTGCTCCGTCTCGACGGCATCCAGTTCAACGCGAAGCGCCTGGCACGAGCTAAGAAACACTTGATCGGCATTGAAAAGATCGTGCGGCCCATGCTCGACTTGGTGCAAGACCAATTGCTCGACCAGGACGAATTCAGCCACGTACGTACCTTCTTTGTTGTCGTGTGTACGATCTTTGAATGGGTGGTGGTTGGTTGGTTGTGGTGGTGGCGGTGTGTTTTAAAAACTAAATCAAATGTTTATATATAATAAAAATAATATCTCAAGAAAATACGATTATAATTTCTTTGACTTGATTTTCTTATACTAGTACTTTGAATTGATTTTTTAAATTTAAACCCAAGGATATGTTTGAACTTGTTTACTTGGGCGAAGATTTGAATGGATGGCTGAGAACGACCGACATGATTTTGTGGTTTCACTGTACCAGATCCTGTATACACAAACGGATATGTGTTTGTGTGCAGGGCGAAGTGAAAAACTACCTGCGGGACGTGATGGACCACCTCAAACAAATGGCAGTGGACATCCGCGACCACCACCAAACGCTGGCGGCGTTGGTGGAGGAAGACAAGCAGCTCCGCGCGCAGCACCAGACTGACGTGATGTACGCCATGTCGGTGGTCGCCGCGTGCTTCCTTCCAGGGACGTTTATGACGGGGATCTACGGCATGAACTTTGAAAACATCCCCGAGCTCAAGTTGGAATACGGGTACTACGTGTGGTGGGTCGTGCTCTGTGTGATCGTCATCACGCTCATGTTTTACCTCAAAGTCATCAAAAAATGGATCTAGCCCCCCCGAGCACACCGTGAAATCGACGGCATGTCGTTCGTAGCTCATATACACCCCCCCAGAAATAATACAATCAAATGCTACTGAATGCTGTTTATATTCATTCGCTCATCCCTGCCATAACCATGGTGACAGTCCTCGTCCTCTATATCGAGAAATGCTCATGGAAGAAGTTTGGGCTAATTGGCTTGACCACTTGCTTGTTCACAAGAGGCAGTTCACACTAACGTTATACAAAGATCATCAGTCTGATTTAGGACAAATTTAAATAAATCCTCGTAATAAAAATGATTTTGCAGCAAAACTTGAGGTGAAACGTGGAGGTAATTTGTACTATTAATAAATAGTATATAGTAAGTACAACGACAGCACGTCAATGTGAACGTTTGTGGGCCTTGCTTGAGAGAGCTTGATACATGTCGATATGTACGTACAGAGTTACTGTACTCCGTTGGAAGGATGCGATATTAGAGACATTTAGCAAACCCGTAATTTGAAATTACCGAAATCAAGCGGAATTTGGCTCAAATATACGAAATCGCATGACCATTCCGTATATTTGAGCTTCAAATTACCGAAATGTCTAAGCCAATCAAAATACATCAAAATGCAATGGGTGGTGGATTGTGCTTGCTGGACGTAATAGATGAACTGTTCATACATTTACTTCGAAGTCACTCCAATGGTTGACCCACAACCTCGACCACCAGCCAAGTACGTTG